CTCAGATCACTATCAACCACCAGGGGGCGCCGTCTGTTCTACAATATTGAAGTTCTAAAACTGCTTTAGAATTAGTCCTTTAACAGATATTGTGAATGGAAAAGAAACTGTTCAAAAGGAAAGAACAACTGGGATGGGGGAAAGGAGAAAAGAAGAAAGGTATATATATATTCTATATATATTATATATAGAATATATAGCAAATATATGTACTTTAATAGTATCAAACCACTTTAATATTAAATCTCATAGTCCTGAATGCAACAATCATACAAACCCTACAAATCCAACAGCAGAATGCCTTTCCTGAGAAGCAGGACAGAGTGCATCTACGAAAACAGATTAAGTTACAGCTGAAGATATAACTTATCCGTGGTCAAGTGATACAAACAATCATTGGGTTGGAGACTGGTTTTAGACATGACTTCATATTTTCCTGGTACTGTACATTCATATTACATTACATCTAGTTTAGCAGAACTACTCAGTGAAAGAAACCAGTAGGCTGAAAGAGCCTCACAACTCTATTCTCCAGAGTAGTGAGAACCACAACCCCAGGATGAAAAATCAAACAGTTAAGGCTTTCTTATTAACAAGTCACCACGTAAGATGTTCTATTAAAAAAAAAAACCAGGAAAATCATACTCACTCCAGTGGCTCTTCGCTTCTTTCTAATACTCTGGCCATCATTTTGTTCAGCACCAGAGGTACAGCTACTATCTGTAGCTGCATCTGCCAAGCTAGAGATTGCAAAGACTGAGGATGCATTTGATGACAGACAGCTTCCTTCTCCAGTGCTCTCCTGAGCACTGTGAGTCTTGGATGGCGATGGAGAGCATTCCTGGCTATTCATATCTTTTGCTGAATGCATCAAAGGTGTCATATGGTCAGATGGCAATTGTGTACTATGTCGCCTTCGGATAGCGAAGTTCTCAGCCCTTTCGCATGTTCTGAGGGAGGCAGCCAGAGGTGTTGCTTCCTGTTTAAGGCACAGTGCTGCTTTCTGACTCTGTGCAACACTCAGGGAGTTACTAGGTGAAATAATTTGCTGGGGCTCATTTTCTTTGCCAGTACCTTCCTCACTGAAGAAGCTATACACAGGAGCCCTCTCTGTGATCACACTGCTCTCAGAAAGGCTTCGCTTTCTGGCCAACCCAGGGGATGAGGAAATGGAGACAGCTTCCCACTGGAACCCTTCAAGACTAGACAGATCAGGCTCCCCATCCAAATCCAAGACTTCTTGTTCATTCTGAACCAAAGGTACCATTTCTATGCCAAACCTTAAAAAAAAGAAAGAAAAAATAAAAATCAGACCTGGTTGGGGGAGGGACACTAGTGAATGTGTCAGGCTCTGTTAAGTTCAAGAATGAATGAGATGCTTTCTGCCTTAAAGTACTTCAGTTTGATAGGCAAGTGATCCAGGCATAAAGTAAATATATTATAAATAATAAAATGTCACAGGTCCTAACTTAAGAGACTTGATTACAGCTGTGAGAAAACACATAAAGGAATAAAACCTGAGTTTTATTTCAAATGAAGCTATAAACTTACAATAAATACATCAGTTTTTAAAGCAAACAAACCAAACAGAAACTTTTTAAAGTAAATATTCACAAGTGCCAGGGACTGTGGCAAGGTTGAGTAATTAATCTCAAGTACTACTCATAAGGTCTGGAAAAGTTTTTAAAAGGAAACAAAATAAATCCATTATTTCAATGAGGACAAAAATGGCCCTAAGCATGGATAACTGTATAACACTGCAGAATTATGATTTTCAAGTTGTAAACTTATCTTGCACATTGCTTTACCATTCAAAAAGTCTAGAAACTCACTGTGCCTTAAAATGAATACCCAAAATATCACAAAAGTCTTTAAGAGGAATTATTTTGTGATCCTAAGTATAACGCCCAGTATACCTATAGAAAAGTAACTATCAGATTCTATGCAGAAGGTAATAGAACAATTATACCTAAACCACTAAAACAGTTATACTCTAACATTAAGATCTAGACAAAGATAGAGATTTCTGGACATACATTTTCATTCTGTTACTTTCTAGCCTCTTTAAATTAAAGTGATGATGAAAAAAAATAAAATAAATTAAAAAAATAAATTAGCATGATGAGCCTGTAATCCAGCATTCCGGAGGCAGAGGTTAGGAGGATCTGCAAGTTCAAGGCCAGCCTGGGCTACAAAATGAGTTCATGGGTAGCCTGAACCCTGTCTCAAAAAAATTAATTAATTAATTAATTAGAGTGATGATTTCTTTTTCCCCCTGTGCCCTTCTAATTTCTCAGAAGGAAGTGTATTTCCATTTTAACTGCATTCTCTGCTAGGAAAGACTGAATTCTATTTGTCACACAGTAACTACTCAGTATTTGATAGTCAATTAAATCAGACATTTACAATGGGTATTTTTAACAAATATTTAGCTAAATGAAACAAGTAGAATTCTCTTCACCAAGGTCAAAGGGTAACTTTAAATGAAAGCAAGAAAGATACTGAAAAGAGGCACGCACCTGGGTAAGCCTTTGCCCAGCTCTTGCTTTTTCCTGGTTACTTGCTGAATGACCTGTTCCCAGTTGACGTTTCTGCGAGATGCATTTAGAATCTGTCGTAGGGTTGGCTTGAGCCCAGACTCCTTCTCTGTTTCGCTCTTTCGATGACCACTAATATTGCGAATGCGCCGAGCACTATTTAGGTTTGGCTCAGGAAGGTGTGCTCCAGTTTTGCTCTTTAAACTAATGTGCCGCGTTAGATCTCTCTGGAGTGAGGCAGGAAAGCCAAGCTTACTTAGTTCGGGCAGGAGAGAACCCGACGGCTGACTATCACTTTTGTGAAGTTCTCCTTCCAAGCTAGTACTCTCAAAGGTTTCTGTCTCATAAGATACGTGAGACTTAACAGGGTTATCACCCTGGCCATCTTCTAGAGAAGTTTTCAAATCTAGTAATAAGCCAGAGTGTGGACTGGCTGCAGATGGCATTTGTAACTCAGACTCATTCTCATGAACTGTGGAATTACATGAGGTGGAGGAAAGTTTTCCAGATACTTTTTGGATCTGGTCATCCCCTTCTTTCTCATCAACAGTATGAGCACTGCAGGATAAAACTTCTGTAGTTGCAGAACCTAGGGCTCCAATTTTTGTTCTATGCTTTTCTGTGTCAGATGTTTCTTCATTGCTTTCATCTTCTAACGCTTGTACTTGAAACTCAATCTTCAAAGATCCTTTTTCTGACTCTTCTACATTCCTACTTGCTTTTGCATAGATCCTGGTCCTTTCAAAAGTGCTAAGAGGTGGATCTTGTAATGACTCACGACTCTGTACCACTTCTTTGGCTTTTTGTATTGTATCATTTAAGTCAACATCAGATTCTTTCTGAGTGCCAGATGTAGTCTTACTCGCTTTTAAAACACGAGGACATGAACTACGCAATTTGGACATAGAGGAAGAACTGTGGTTATCTTCTAAAGTGGGTTTGTTCAAGGGATCTGAGTTTTCTGCAGCAAAAGAATTTGTTTTGGTGTTTTTTGAGGGAGTCTTTGAATCTTGCTTTTGAGAAACGGATTTAGTGGCCGGGAGTGGCAGAAGTGGAGATTTCAATGACAGTATCTTATTTGAGTTATGTCCTTGTTTAGGGTTATCTGTAACGGAACAAGCTCTCACCACCTCACTGGAATCAGGGCAGTCAGAGGAGGCTTTGCGATTAAGAGATCCATTATGTTTTTCTTTTTGTGTCTTTAGTGTTGGGGAATTACCAGTTTCATTAGTCAGCGGTGCTTGTAGTCCTGCAGTTATCAAGCTAAAATCAAAGAGAGGCTTCTCTGTTGTTTCTGACTTACTACCAGTGACTTCTTTCAATCCTGACTGTGAATCTAGAGTCTTCTGGGAAGGATACGGAGTCCAGCGATGGAGCTTCTCCCGTGCTACACTGCCGTTCTTTCCACCAGTTTTGGTAGTTGAACCATCTGTCTGTTTAGTAGTCTGGCTTTCTGGTTGCTCAAAATTGAAGTCACATAAGCCTTCAGAAAGAAACCTATCACTGGTAAAGCCCTCAGAAGGATTTCTATATGCTGCAACTGTACCAACTTTATCATTATCTTGCCGTTGCCAATTATATCTCTCTTGATTGTATTTGCTTGACATATTAGGCTTCTTGTTCCATGGCATATTCATGTCTTCCATTTGATAGTTAGAATTTCTGTTTCTGCCTGGTTGAAATTTGTCTCCAGGGCCATTGTAATTCCAACTATTTATATTACGTACATTGGATTTCCAGTTTCCGTTACTGTTGTTCATATGCCAACTGGAAAAACCACCTGTTCCTTCAGAATGCCAACTGGAATTCCTTCCTGGACTATTATAATTCCAATCCACCATCCCATTATTTGGATGCCAACCTCCTCCAGAATTACTATGGTTGTGAAACCAAGTTGAGGAGCCTCTTGCAACCCCATTATGCCACCCAGCACATCCTCTTGGCCCACCACTATTCCTCAAAGAATGTGAAAAGCTATTTTTCCTAGAACTGTTAAAGCCATCTTTTTCCCATTTCCAATCCCACTGTGGAGGTCCACGATGATGCCTTGCTGGCTGACTGTAATTCTCTCTGTCTTGGTAAGGGATTCGATCTTCTCGTCTCCACTGTGGCTGTCTGCCATCTGAGTTTATTTCTTGGCTGCTACTGGCAGGCTTGTCTTGGCTGAAAGAAAAATAGTTTTCATTATGGGTTTAAAAGAATTCTTATGCTTCCTGGAAAGACACAACTCACCAAACTTCCCCTCTGTCCTTCTCCCTTATGACATATTATGCAACAGAATCCATTTTTACTTATAATAGTGGTTGCTTTCATATCTTTAAAGATAATGATTAAATTTATATTCCTCAATTAACTTAAAATTAAACAATATATTATTTTCCTTATTACCCTAAGAATATTAAAAATCTGACACATTTGCACCATCTTTCTGAGGATGTTTCTGTATTTCTTGGTTCATATTCTGGAATTTTTTCCCTATTATTTTGACATTATGCAACTTGTTAAAGTAAGAAAAGTATATTTCATAGTTGTTAGTTACTATTAACACAATTTTATGCTCCTTCAGCTGCCTTTAATATATAATTTCTTCAGCTGAAAGTTTTTTTTTTTCGGGGGGGGGTGGTTTGGTTTTTTTCTGGTACCGGGAATCAAACTCACGACCTTGTGCTTGCCAGGCAGGTGCTGTGCCGCTGAGTTAAATCCCCAGCCCCCAGCTGAAAGTTTTTTGAACATGTAGTTTCTCAATCATTTTGAATAGCAAACTTTAATAAACACTTTATCAAGCACTCATTCAACAACTGTTAGTGGCATAAGAAAACTTTTGTGCACAGTTCCTGTCCATGATGGACTTAGAATCTAGCTGAGGAAATAAGTAAGGTCACAAACAGGAGTAAAATAGCACATACCAAATAAGCAGTACCCATAATAAGTGTTATACGGAGCTCTATGAGCTAGAAGTTTTTATAAAGAAGCTTCAGCTGCTTGAACTATTCATGTTAAATAGAGTTCACAGAAGCGTGAATTAAATTTAAGGAAACATCACAGCAACATGTATAAAACCATTTTCCTTTACAAACTATGTACGGTTTGCCCAAAACAGTGCTCAGCATGTGGCAGGTGCTCAAAACTTTGAATGATACTACTGAAAAGTTACAGAATATCTACTTACTGTCAGGCATTTAATGCAAGCTAGTACTTTATATAGGTTACTTCACTTAATTTTCACAATTCTGAGGCAAATAATATTGCTTTTAATATTTTTACACAAGGAAACTAAAGATTAGAGAGATCAAGTAACCTATTTAGAGTAAGACAGCAAGTGGTAGAGGAGGAACGTGAACCTTCTCAGTCTGAATCGAGTTTATACTCCTAGCGATGAGGCCTTTATAAAATGAAAGTCCCAAAACAAAAGTTTCCCCAGTTAGGTTTCTCTAAACTTGACCTAAATCTTAAACTCAGTATTTACTTTAATTGGCTTGAAAAGCTTGTAATACCTATGAAATAACTTCTGGGCACAAATTTGGATTCCTTACTTTTTCACAATATAGACTTAAAAGTTAATATATCTTGAAAACTTCAAGTATCTTACTTACATTATGAATTACAACTATGTCTGAACAGGAGACCTGAAGTCCTCAAGGAAAAAGTGCTACTATACAAACAAACATGGTTTTTTGGGGAGGTGGTTGTCATCATTAACCAAACTGCTTTTTCCTTTCATTTCTAAGCAGTAGGAAATTTTTAACACCCAAGGGAATGACAAACTCAGCCATACTGAGTGAAGGGAATGTGATCAGAAGTGGGAGAAGAATTGAGTAATAAATCACAAAGCAGAATTCCTAGGTCATTAGAAACTGGATAGACTGAGGGGATAATAGCACTCAGCTAAACCCACAGTCTAGGAAGAACAATCTAAGTTAAAGTCTCATGAGTGAGCCAGGTACAGTGATGCACACTTGTAACCCCAATTACTTGGACAGCTATTCCAATTACTTGGAAGCAAGAGGATCAAAAGTTTGAGGATATCCTGAGCAACACAGCAAGACACTGTTGCAAACTTTTTAAAAACGGATGGGATAGTGCCGGCCATGGTGGCACACGCCTGTAATCCCAGCACTTGGGAGGCTGAGGCAGGAGGATTGCTGTAAGTTC